CTTGCAGGGAGACTGCCTGTCAGCACAGGCAGCCCCACTGCAGGCAGCACTATGGACACCTATTGTGACCATGTGATCGCTGTGTTAAGCGATCACATGGCCACAGGGGTCCTAATCTGCCGTGGGGAGACTGTCTGGGCTGCAGGCAGTCTCCCCACAACCGGAGCCACGCTGATCGCTGCCGGGGGAACGACAGCGATCAGGTAAGTAGCTCTGACCGTTAGGACGGTTCAGGACCGTCATCGGTCGGCAACGCAAAAATGCCGATGACGGTCCTGAACCGTCCTCGGTCGGGAAGGGGTTAAAGGAATCCAGGAGACTGGGAATTCCAGAAACGGAAAAAAGGAATGAACCCAGAAAACCAGACATAGAATAGAAAACCAGAAAAAACAAGAAAAACTAAACAAGAATTGTAAAGAGTACTGGATACCAGAAGCCAAGGTCAGACATCTGAACAGAATGGAACAGATCGTGACACTGAGTGCCGGGGGGACTGATCACCCGGTGTTCTCTGGGGGCCACTGGTAGTGAGAGGGGTATTGCAGTGATGCAATACCATTAGAGCTGCTGGAAGCGTACTTGATATGTCCAAAGTCAGGAAGGGGTGAATAAATCTACAGAATTGTTTGGTTCTGTAAGTGATAAAATAACATGGTCCGCATTGTCCGACTTTATGTTCTGTAGCACCAACAAACAACTGAAGCACCTTTGATTTTCCTTAGCTGTGCAGCTAGTGGTTCAATTGAAGGTAAAAATATTGGTGATAATAGACACCCCTGCATTTAGTATGCATATTTGTGATTTTGATACATTATGTATATCTATTGTATGTGTATAGCTCTATTAATGCTAAGGCTTATTGATATACATTTTGGGATACCTATTATGTTGTACCCTATTGATAAAGTGCATCTTATTTATATGGTTGTACTCCTCATTCATTATTATTGACTGTTAGTTTAGGGCCTAGCCTGGGAAATAAGACTTTAGAGTGAGCACCCTAATCTTTTTTTCTGTTGCGTTGGCTCATTTTTCTTATGGCATTTGATTAAGTGTGCTTCACCCTGCAGCTTTTTTTCTTTAATACCTTTGCAGGTACCTAATGTGATCGCCTTATTTTACTGGGATAATCTCCAAAGGCTGCTGCTGCTGTTCTTAGTGAACCCTTACTTCTGCCAAAACGTCTGAGTTAAAGTCCTCCTTTAGGGTTGTTGTAACTGATTAGGGTAACCCTACTGCTAATGCTTCATCTTCTAAACCACTGCAGCCTTTTCTTAACATTTTTTTGCAGGTACCTAATTTTGGAAAAGAGACTGTCATCTCTTTCCCTAGACTCATGTCCAAAAGCTGTGCTGCTGCCTTTGTTCTTCATGAACCCTCAATTCTGCCAGTCTGCCCCTCTACCACCTCTTTCTTTGTGCACACATGCAAATAAAGGCTGTGCTGCTGCTGCACATGTCTGTTGCTAAATTGTACTGGATCTAATACAGTGATTTGTTAACATTAGCACTATCATTTCCCATAATGCTAATCAAGTCTGTATATAGTTCACAATAATTTCTACTCTTAAGGTTAGACATTAAATGTAATGTAAGATTGATGGCATTTTTGAGGTATGAAATGTTATTTTATGGATATTAATTAAATTTGATATGCTTAATATGTTTTAAAAATGTATTTTTGTTTTAACATCAGGTTGTTAGTTACAGGTGATGAAATTACATAACATGCACCCTTGTTCATTTATATCCTCCTATACATTCTAAAAAACACAACCATTTATAAGCACATACTTGCAAACCACGATCTACAAACATTGTTAACACAATTGATGCACAATTATCAGTTACAAATTGTAATTTGAAATATGTAGCCAAAAGGTATCATCTTAAATGAGCACATGTACACAATACAAAAACAGTGGGCCAAAAAATGGCCAATTTTCATTAGTCAAATAATTGTGGGTTTTCCTCTTTTATAACTTTTTTTTTTGCATTTACTAGAAAATAGAGACAGGGAGTATAATTAACAGCAGGTGGGACACTCAAATATATAGTCAAAATATACTAATTTAAGGTATGTCCCACTTTATTCTAACCTAGAGACTACTTTTTATAAGATTACATTTAGAAGGATTGGCATTCTTCATAAATTGGTTAATTTCATAACAGCTATCAGAATAGAGTAGGACAAAAAATGGACAAGTTGGTAGTTATGGCAGCTTAAGTGATATATGATCACATCTAAACCCCATTATGTTACATAGTTACATTAATTACATAGTTACATAGCTGAAAAGAGACTTGCGTCCATCAAGTTCGGCCTACCTCACATTTGTTTTTTGCTGTTGATCCAAAAGAAGGCAAAAAAACCCAGTTTGAAGCACAATTTTGCAACAAGCTAGGAAAAAAATTCCTTCTTGACCCCAGAATGTCAGATTTATCCTTGGATCAAGCAGTTATTACCCTACGTTGAAAGATTATATCTTTGAATATTCTGTTCTTGCAAGCATGCATCTAGTAGCCGTTTGAACATCTGTATGGACTCTGATAAAACCACTTCTTCAGGCAGAGAATTCCACATCCTGATTGTTCTTACAGTAAAAAAACCTTTCCTTTGCCTTAGACGAAATCTTCTTTCTTCCAGTCTAAACGCATGGCCTCGTGTCCTATGTAAAGTCAGGTTTGTGAATAGATTTCCACACAATGGTTTGTATTGGCCCCGAATATATTTGTATAATGTTATCATATCCCCTCTCAGGCAACGTTTTTCTAAACTAAATAGGTTTAAAATTGTTAACCTTTCTTCATAGCCGATATGTTCCATTCCTTTTATTAATTTTGTAGCCAGCCTCTGCACTTTTTCTAGTGCCATAATATCCTTCTTTAGAACAGGTGCCCAAAATTGCACAGCATATTCAATATGGGGTCTTGCCAGTGATTTATAAAGAGGCAAAATTATATTCTTGTCCCGAGAATGAATGCCCTTTTTCATGCATGACAATACCTTACTGGCCTTGGCCACTGCTGATTGACATTGCACATTGTTGCATAGTTTGTCTATAACAATTCCCAAGTCCTTTTCGTGTGTTGTTATCCCTAATTCGCTTCGCTAAGGGGTATCATTGCATAGTAATATTCTTCATTTTTTGACTAACTTTGCATTTTTCAACATTAAATTTCATCTGCCATTTGAGTGCCCAGTCCCCAGTCTATCTAAATCCCTCTGCAGCAAAGTAATATCTTGCTCACATTGTATTGTTTTACAAAGTTTTGTGTCATCTGCAAACACTGAAGCATGACTTTCAATGCTGTCTTCAAGATCATTTATAAACATATTAAATAGAAGGGGTCCCAGAACAGACCCCTGAGGGACACCACTTGCCACCTCTGTCCAGCTTGAAAATTTACCGTTAATGACAACTCTTTGTACTCTGTTTTTAAGCCAATGTTCTACCCAAGAACAAGCATTTTCATCTAGACCGATTTCCTTGATTTTGAACACTAATCTATTGTGTGGAACTGTATCAAATGCCTTGGCAAAATCCAAAAAGATCACATCCACGGCAACACCCTGATCTATACTTCTACTTACTTCTTCGTAGAACGCAATCAAGTTAGTTTGACATGACCTGTGCTTCATAAAACCATGCTGATTTTTGCTGATAACCATGTTCTTCTCAAGGAATTCTTGAATATTATCCATTAATAACCTTTCAAATATTTTACCAGCCACAGAAGTTAAGCTCACAGGTCTATAATTTCCAGGCAATGATTTTGAACCCTTTTTGAATAGAGGAACCACATCTGCCTTCCTCCAATCCTCCGGAACACTTCCTGAAAGAAAAGAATCTTGAAAGATTAAAAACAGAGGTTCACTTATTTCTGCACTTAGTTCCTTAAGTACATGTGGATGGATACCGTCAGGTCCTGGAGCTTTGTTTATATTAACTTTCTTTAGTTGCTGCAGCACCTTGTCTTGAGTTAACCAATGTTACCTTTTTTATTTTTAGAGTAAGAACTTGAAATGTCTCTTGTCCAGTGAGTTGTTTAACCATAAAAAATGTAAAGCCTAGCTTTTATTTGAAATGAAAAAAATGCACAGTTTGCACATAAAATAATATACAGGTATAATAGATACAGTAGATAGACAGACAGACACAGACAAACAGACACAGACAGATCACTTATATCACTTTTCAGTATTATGTGTTTGTTCAGATCCTGCACAAATAATATTTAAATATTAATTTTGTAACATATAGAACATATGTTAGATGTGATAAGATAGTAGAAATAAAACCTACGGC